TGAGGGGAAGCTTGCATGACCATCGGTTGTGGCTGGGTGGTGCCGCGGTTGTTGGACTGAAATTGGTGTTGTCGGCGGATAACATCGACCAATCTCACCATTCCTTCAAAAGACATGGGCGGGTGTTCGGGTGTCGCCAGCTGAAAGTCGGCCTCAACTCTTCTGTTGAATTCTTCTTGAAGTTCCGGTTCTGAAGCCAAACCGTTTTGTAGGACAAGGCCGGCCAGGTAGTCGCGGGTGAACTTCACACCCGAATCTTCCATCTTGTCAAGGAGGTCGCCAATTTGGGAAGACATTTGAGCCGTGGTGGGGTGATCGGCGATGTTGAAGGCTATCATACGGCGGTACAGATTGACCTGGGCGGCGCGGCTGACTGAGTGGAATCTTGCATGTAGGTCGAAGAACATTGCATGTGCTGTCGCAAGTCGAGATACCCCTTGTCGAAGAGATTGGTGGACCGAGCTGATGAGTAGCGCTTGGCCAACACGCTCGTGTAGGAGATTCCGAGCCGGCCGGTTGAAAAAGGAAACTGCGCCGGTCGCGCCCCTCATTCTTTCTTCGATGAAGTCTTCCCACGTGGCAAAATTGGAACCATCGGCCAATAGGAGATCCTCCTCGTTGATGTGATTGCTTGCAGATGAGATGAGGTTCGCTGCCAGTCAATCGAATTCAACTTGTTGGAGTTTTGCTGCTCGATCATCGGGGCCCGATGTCCGACGGGATTCACGCTCCCCCCCAGTGTTTTCCGTGTTGCTGGTGCTCGGTCCATGTGGGGGTGCGTCTTTCTTGGAGCTCTCGGGCAGAGTGATCTGTTGGGTGTTCGCTGTGGTGTTTGGAGTGGATGTGGCAGGGGGTTCGGGGGTGGATGCTCATTTGGCTTTGCTCATGGTGGAGAGAGTAGTGAGTTGAAGGAAAAGAATGGGGAAAAGAAAAGGAAAGGAAATGAGGATAGGATAAAGAGTGAAAAGGAATAAAGGAGAAGTAGTGAGGCAAAGGAAGAAGAAAAAGGAAAAACAGGAGAGAATTGGGCGAGGGGAAAAACAGGAAAGGAACAGAACAAACAAGGGAAGTGAGAGTGGTCTAGAGATTCGGGATTCGGGAGAGAAAAAAACTGGAAGAGTGATTGGCGGAGACGGGCAGAGATAGTAGGAAGAGAGAGAAAAAAAAATGGTAGGGAATCGGGAGGGAATTGAGGATGAGCGGTATTCAGGAAATGAGATGTGCGGTAGTCGTCGGAGCCTTTTGCAGGAGTACGCTTGTTCAGCCCCTTAGTCTAGCGTCCTAGATAAGGTATACCCCAGAGAGCTAATCTGGGGCAGCTTAATCGGCAGTAACTTCCTTGGTAAAGGTTGAAGGTGATAGGTCGGGGATGTTTGGTGATTCAAGGTTCTGGAAGAGTAAAAAAAAAATATGACTGGATATGATTCGAAATGATGACAATAAGATTTTCAGGTCAATTATGTCCTACACTGGACTACCTATGGAATTCAGGTCAGGTCAATTACGCTCTACTCTGAGCTACCTATTATTATTGTAGAGAATAAGCGGAGAAACTTTTAAGGACTCATAACCTAATGGAATAGGGAACGGTGAAGCACTCAAGAGTGTGTGTATTGCATGTAGATGAACGTGGAACAGGTTTATATACATGCTTTTACAGGGGGCTAACGGGTGGTTAGGTGAGTTCGTCCGGTAACCCAGAGCTGGGTTCCAACACTACATGTGAGGACTCGCGAGGAGATTTTACGGCCTGCCGTAGATTTTAGCGACTGCGGTGGGTCGTGTTGAGTCTGTAAATTCCACCTACGGCCCCAATTTACGGCCCGCGGTGAAGTTGCTCTAAGGACTCTACAGGACCCACCGCGGTCGCTAAAATCTACGGCGGTCCCTAAATCCTGCTCCCGAGTCCTCACATGTAGGGACTCCTAGGGACTGGACTACGGCCTCCGAACTACACTTTCACACAACAACAACTTGTGAAACTCAACACTCACTCACCACTCCACGCTCGGCAGCTCACATGTCATGAAGATTTACCAACCACTCCTCCAAACCGCGGTGTATGCCGCAGCAGTTTGAGGCTGTAAAGGTAGCTTCGCAAACCCAAATTCCAAAATTTAACGGCCCGGAATTAGGGTCTGCGGTGGAACTGCTCTTACAACATGTACCGCTCTCAACCCTAAATTGGGACACTTTCCAAAAGTTACCAGTGCACATGAAATAAATTGTTCCCATGTTACAAGTGACTTCACACCCACAAGGCTGTCGTGGGCTTTGAAAAGCTCTCAGCTAGGCTTTTTTTCTTAATAAAAAACAATACAATCTTATTTCTTACATTTTAATCAGAATGATCTATCTCCTGTTTACTTGTGTATAAATGTGTTGATTGAAAGCCTCTTGTAGATTCAAATTTGTATGGTAAGTGCTAAACTAATTTCATTGAAATGAAACTGTTATTCAATTTTTAAGGAAGGTCATGTTTAAGAGCACAATCTTGGTCTAGCAAATGAGTTTTCAATTACCGTACTGCACAAATAGCTGAATATTAAATCTTTCTGGCATATCAGGATAATCCAAAACTTACCTCAAGACTCACAGGCTATCCACTATCACCAAACTGGATGTATTTTGACTCATGAAACTCACTTTTATCAGTGGTCTGTGGTGTTCAAATCTGACTGTGTAGATTCATGAACATAAAATCAAAAATCCTTTGGGATGAGATTATGTAAGCAGGCCACAGCCAAACCTTGTCAATGATTTTTTTTTCTTAATTGTTTATGCATCAACATCAAATACCCCTACAGAATAGAATCTTTTTAGGCCTTATTTGCAGTCACTGAGAGTAATTTACATATCTGCATCCACCTAAAGCTCTATCAAAATGACCAAATGAAAGCTGGATTATGGCGGAAAAATCCTCCCAAAAAATTCCTTTTTTTCATTTCCCTTCCTTTGTCCCCCTGTAATGAGAATTCTGGTCCCCCCAGAAGGGTTGAGTCAAGAGTGTTCAAGTAATTGATCCAACCTTGTGGAAAGGTTCTCTGGGGATATAGGATCCTAATTAGGAGAAACAATCCAATATTGAGGATTGGTGTTGTGACAGTACTAGAACTCAATTTTTTTCCAGAAAAGGTGAATTCTAAGATTTCCTTCTTGCCTGAAAATCATTGACAGGCTATCTCTGGTGTTATACCCAAAGAATTTGAGTCAAGTTATGCACAGTACCTTCTGTTTTACAGAGGTTTGTGTTGCTTTGTTTGGGGAAGTGGATACCATTGGGATGAGTCCCAAAGTTCTCATGAGAAGAATTGTGTATCAGCATTAACATTGTCATTTAGCTCACACATGTTTGCTGCTCAATCCACACATGTAACGAGGGAGAGGGTGGTAGCTATAACAATTTTATCCATAAGTATTTGGATGAAAGAATCAAGGATCAGTCTTTCTGTCACTTGAGACTTTATTTAAGTGTGGTGTGTGTGATGGGGATGGGTTCCAAACTTTTTGTGAGCTGTGCTTGCTTCCTGATAGTATTAGAAGGGATATGTATCAGCTAACATGTTAATTGGCTGCTCAACAGCTACAGACAAAGTAATGACAGTGGCCAAAAATCACTACTTTGCCGTTACACTACCCAGTGTTGCTATGTGTTCCCCTCGATCCTGTAAGAAGTTAACACTGGTCAGCTGTCGGAAGTAGATCCGACAAGGCTTGGGCATCCAAACCAACCACCAGCGACAATGTTGACTGCTCTTAGACTAAGGAGAAGATACGCCATGGATGGGTATTCAGGAACCGCAATTTGGGTTTCCATCTCCCTTTCTTTTTTTATTCATTTTCGATACTCCTTTGAATATTTGGCGCTTAACTGAGCCTGGGTCACTGTTTTGTGCACTCGTTCTAGAAGTTATAATTGCCACAGCGAGCGCTTGGTCTCTTGTACTCTGCACTCGATGTCGCTCTTCCCCTTCTCATTCTCCAGGTATCGACTCCCGTTTCTCTCTAAATAAATTCTCAACTTGCTTCAAAGTTCTCTACACCTGCCTTCATATTTGGCCCAGAGGTTATTGTTCTTCTTCATGCATAAAGATAGATGAATGATCAAAACATCTTGGCATTTTCCAGATCGCTATCTATTTGATTTTTGCCCACTTCGTCGCTCTATGTCGACGAAGCCGCAGTGTCACCTTATTACACAGTACATTGTTACCCCCTTCCTCCTTTCTTCCTCTTGAAGAGATAGAGCCCATGGAATGGTCACATTATCATTCTTATCGAGTGCCCATGGGAAGAGATATGAAGAAGCAAGTTGACGCTTGTGTCTTACCGGGATGGGATGATGATTGGAATGGAGGAAGGCTATGGTGTCTATGGAGCGCTATGGAGAAACGCGTATTGATCTTCCAACATTTAAATTTCCCGGCTTGTTGTAGAATAAAGCTCCCGTCTGAAGTTAACCAGCTAATTTAAGATTGTTACGCTTCCGATCCTATACGTCACTAGTCCACTGTTTCCTTTGGGATACATTTGAGGTGATGAAGATATTCTACCCACAAGCAGCTTCTAGTCCGGAGTCTTCTCCAGTCTCAAAAACAAAAGGCTCGCTAAAGGAAGAATAACTACCCACAAAAAAGTATCCGGCTCCTGCAATTGACCCCAATGATTTTAAAGTGGTCAGTTGGACTAATCGCCAAACTACTCATAATGGCTACTCAAGTGCTCAGTCTGTAACCCTAGTTGAATAGCAGATTCTACTCCCCAGGTATGCACCATTGAAAGGCTGTCTTGCTTCCTTAAGAGTGACATTATTACGGTCCCACTTCCCACATTATTTTTAGTAGGAACTCCACCACCACTTCACGAAAACCCTTGACATTCAATCACTTTTATTTTCTTTCATAATCATATCCATACCTCACTAACAGGTCATCCTCAAGCGCATTTTTTTATTAAATCTCGCCAGAAAAATGCCAGCTAGTCAAACTTCAAGAATCTCCATGTCTAGTTCCATTCGTGAAGGAAATGGATCGAGAAGATGGGCCGGACATGTCGAGCCAGAAACTTCTTCCGCTGAGTGCAGTTGTGTCGAGCAGAGGCTAGGGGTGCACTGTGACTCGGAAGATGATCCCAGAGGATCCATCGGCACGCCAAGTATACCGGCATCTCCTACAACGACAATAGACTCAGAAGAGTCCTTTCAATGTCGAGGTCTCGAATATGACCCGGAGCAACGGTGGTCTAACCCCATCCCACGAGAGCCGATCGTCTGGGCTTCCGGATCAAGGTTGGGCCACAGCATAAGCATTCCTGCATCGGCCGGGACAGTGGCATCGGATTCTGATGAGTCTTTTCAATGCCGAGGCCTCCAGTGGCAGTACGAGCCTGACCTTCGCCCGCAAGAGTCCATTTCGGCTTCCGGATCACGATCGAGTCGCAGAGGAGGTGGACACTCCAGAAACATCCCGACTTCGCCTGAAGCAGCGGCCTCGGATTCGGACGAGTCATTCCAATGTCGAGGCCTTTCATTCCAAAGCCGGCCTGACTATGGCTCACAAGAGTCGGTTTCCAGGGCTTCAGCAAGAGATTCCGACGAGTCATTCCAGTGTCGAGGCCTCTCGTATCAGAGTCAGCCCGACCTTGGCTCACAAGTTGAAGAGTCAATTTCCCGGGCTTCAATATCAGATTCTGACGAGTCCTTCCACTGCAGCGGCCTGTCATATCAGAGCCTGTCTGAACTGCGCAGGCCGGATCCCCAGACCTACGCTCCACATACCCGGACCTCCGCTGGTGCCATCACTCGCAAGAATCATGGAAAGGGTAAAAATTATCTAGGATTGCGATTAGATCTGTCTGCTATTTCTAATTTCCAGCTCCAAGGTTCGAATTTTTCTAAGATACATTTTTTACCCAGATACAGAGTGGGGCAAATTCGGTTTTGATTCTAGATTTTTTTTCATGTGTCACAGAGACCGATTCGGGTCGTGGGCAAGGTTTGAACGAAACCCAGGCCCTGAATCAAAAATCCTCAGTTGACCCGCTGGCCTTGCCTCTTACTGCAAGTCCACCAGCCCGTCCCGCGGAGACCTCCCTAACACAAGCCGCCGTACCTATATTTGGCAGTTCGAAGCTTCGAACTCTCAAACTAGAGAGGAAAAACCGGCGGAAAGGTCCTCTGCAGGGTATTAAAACTGCCCTCAAGAGGTTCTTGAGGGTTCCTAAGAGGGACTGACTGAGGAAATCTCGATGATGAAAAGCTCCAGTGGACGTTATTTTTTCTCTTGAGCTTTTTTCTGACCTCCTCTTGATACTCTTTTTTTCACTTTTTTGCCTTAGATGATCTCATTCTATTTTAAGATCAGTCCCCAGTTACTCTCACGGACAACAATTTATTGCCTAAATTTTTTGTCGTTCTTCGCAGAAGCATTTCCATTTCCTCCTCGCTTCTATAATCGCTTCAACTCGGCTTCGTTCTTTCCTTTTTAATTTTTTCTCCCTGCAGCTCAATCATTGATTTGCAAAACAGATGAACCAGCAACATGGATGTTATGAATTATTGGCAATTTCGCATTTTGGATGGATCTTTCAAGCTGAAGAGACTTAAAGACTATGCCTTTGACGATCATGGAACATACGTATTAAAATTCCTTGATTATCGAGACAAAGTCTTCTTCTATAGGATATCCAGATCGTTGATTGACCAAATGAAAAGGACCCATTTTTTAGGAAGTTCATGTTTGAGAGCACAAAATTTTTGTTATATATAATCATCTCTTTTGTCAAAATATCCATCGATCAGATGTACAGGTAACAGAACACCAATAAACCTTTTTTGTGTATAAGAATGATCTAAAATTCACCTGAAGACTCACTGGCAATCCACCATCACCAATCTGGATGTATTCTGACTCACAAAAATTCACCTATTTATTGAGATTTACCAGCGGTGTTCAAAGCTGACTATGTAGATTCATAAACATAGAATTCCAAGCGATTTTGGCTGGGATTTTGTAAGCAGGCCCCAGCCAAAACTTGTTCATGATTTTGTCTTTATGTATTGATGTATCAAATATGGATACCCCTACAGAATAGAATATTCTTGGGGCCTTATTGCCTGCCACCTCTCAAGGGTCAAGAGGGACCGCTGGCTTCTGTATCTTTATTGCTTTTTCACTTACCTCTCTTCCCCTATGCTTTATGAAAAATTCCCTACCCTCAGATGGGTTGATTTAACATTATTGAGGAAATCAATCCAAATTTTGGGAGGTCTTTTCTGGAGATGTAGGATTGTTAGTAGGAGAAACCTACCAATCCCATATTGGTTTTGAAGAGCAAAAAATTTGATGTTCAGCCAACGGAGATAAACCCTACAATTTCCTTCTCACCCAGAAGTCATTGGCAGGCAATTTCTACTGTTATACCCAAAGTATTTTAGTTAGGTGATGCACAATATCTTCTGTTTTACAGCACTTTGTGTTGCTTTTTTTGGGGAAATGTATATCATTAGGCATGAGAGGGATTATGCATGTATCACACTGCCAAAATGATTGCAGTATCAGATTGCTAAATCTGGCATTACATTAGATAAAAATATCTGATATTACATCAGGAAAGACTGGGATTGTATCTACCAGAATTGATATTATATCTACCTAAAATGATATTGTGTCTATCATGAAAGATATTAAATCAGACCAACCTATTTAATTTCAACATAACTGAATTAATATCAGATTTTTCCATCTGATGTAATGCCCATGGGCTAAATATTTGTATCAGATATAAAAATCTGATATAAAATCAGTTATGTTGATATTAAATAGGTTGGGCTGATGCAATATCTCTTGAGATAGATGTAACATAATTTTGGGTAGATATAATATCACTCCTGATAGATATAATACCAGTTTTGCCTGATGTAAAATCAGGTTTTTTCATCTGATGTAATCCCAGATGTGGGAATCTGATATAATCACATTTGCAGTGTCAGCATCAATATTAATATTCAGCTTGCTCTTGTTTGCTGCTCAATTCACAGATGTATTGAGAGAAAGGATGGTAGCTTTGACAATTTTATCCATAACTGTTTGGATACAAAAATTGAGGATCAGTCACAATTGTGACTTTATTTGAGTTTATTTGGTGTGATTGGGATGGCTTCCAAGCTTTTTGTGAGCTGCACTTGCTTCCTGATAGAAGGGGTATGCATCAGCTTGAATGTTAATTAATGTGCTGCCCGTCTGCATTGGCTCGTCGATACAGATAATATGATGATTCCCAAAAAAGCAAAGAAAATCACAAGGCGCAGTGACCAGCAGACGAACAGTTACAGATAATGTAACGATATTGGGAAGACATCACTACTTGCCATTGCACTACCGTTATAACGGGTTGGGTAACTATACCCAGTGTTGCTATGAGTTCCCCTCAATCCTGTATGAAGTTAAAACTCATGGCCAGCTGTCGGAAGTAGATCCAACAAGGCTTGGGCATCCAAACAAACCACTATGTAGCGACAATGTTGACTGTTCTTAGCTAGGGCTAGGGAGAGGATTCGCAATGGATGGGTATTCAGGAACCGCAATTTGGGGTTCGATCTCCCATTCTTTTTATATTCATTTTCGATATTCCTTTGAACACTTGGCGCTTAAATGAGTCTCTCCTGGGTCACTGTCTTGTGGCATGGTGCTTGCTCGTTCTAGAACTTGTAATTGTGACAACGAGCGCTTGGTCTCTTCTACTCCGCACTTCATATCGCTCTTCCTCTTCTCATCCATAAGGTATCGACTCGCTTTTCTCTCTAAAAAAAATTGGCACTCCTTGAAGGTCTTCCAAACCCGGCTTCATATGTGGCAAAAAGGTTCTTGTTCTTCTTCTTACATACAGATAGAACAATGATCAAAACACGATGGCATTTTCCAGATCGCTATCTATTCAATTTTTTCTCATTCAATGTGGAGGCTATGGCACCAACACGTCTCTGTTTCTCTGTCGTAATCTCCGTCGCTCTATGTGGACGAGGCCGCAGTGCTATGGGATGGGCAGTAATGGAATGGAGAGGAAAGTGAGGCGTGTCGCGTCGCGAGTGTGGACTTTGGAAACTATTCAAGTAGGAGAAGAAGAAAGACTCAAGTTACTCGAAAGCGGCCAGTCTGACATCCCTGAAAGCCACATCGACGCGTGTCCCACAAGCCCCATTCCTCTCGAGCGCGACCAGTCGAGCGAATCGACTGATTGATAGCACCTTAGCCGACCCCTCGAATCCGGTGACTCATAATGACTCCTATCGTAGAGCTTAACATGTCGTCAGTGCTGCCACTGGCCATCAACAGAGTAACGGTCTTACCGCTTCTTCTTCTTCTAATTATAAGGGTCACCTCATTACACAGTACATTGTTACCCCCTCCCAACTCTCTTGCTCTTGGAAAGATCGAGCGTGTTGAATAGAAGCATTATCATTCCCATACAGTGTCCATTGAAAGGGAATCACACAGCTTTGAAGAAGCAAGTTGGCACTTGTGTCTTACCGGAATGGAGGAAGGTATGGTGTCTATGAAGCGTTAATGAGAAACGCGTGTTGATTTTGCAACGCTCGAATTTCCAGCAGGCTGGTTGTAGAAGAAAGCTCCCGTCTGAAGCTGCTCAATGAAGTCGCTTAACCAGCCAATTTGAGATTATTATTTTACGCTTCCGATGCTATACGTCACTAGTCCACTGTTTCCTTTGGGATACATTTGAGGTGATGAAGATACTCTACCCACATGCAGGTTCTAGTCCGGAGTCTTCTGAATTCTAAAAAACCATAAAGCTCGCTAAAATAAGAATAAAAACTTACAAAAGTATCCGGTTCCTGCAGTGCAATTGACCCTTATGATTCTAAAGCTCTCAGTTGGAGTAATCGCCAACCTACTCACAATGGCTACTCAAGTGCTCAGTCTGTAACCCTAGTTGACTAGCAGATTCTACTCCCCAGGTATGCACCATTGAAAGGCTGTCTTGCTTCCTTAAGAGTGACATTATTACGGTCCCACTGCCCACATTATTTTTAGTAGGAACTACACATCCACTTCACAAAAGCCCTTCACATTAATCAATCACTTTGATTTTCTTTATAATCATATTCTTGACTCCCTAATAGGTGAACATCAAGCCCATTTTTTTCAATCAAATCTCACAAGAAAAAATGCTAGCCAGTCAAACTTCAAAAATTTCCATGACTAGTTCTATTGATGAAGAAAATGCATCGGCAAGACGGGCCGGACATGCCGACCCAGAAACTTCTTCGGCTGAGTCCAGCCATCTTGCAGAACAAATCCAACGCGCCTCTTGTGTCGAGCAGAGGCTAGGGGTGCACTGTGACTCGGAAGATGAGGCCAGACAATCCATCGGCACGACCAGTATCCCGAAATCTCCTTCAACGACAATAGATTCAGACGAGTCCTTTCAATGTCGAGGTCTCCAATACGACCCGGAGCAACGGTGGTCTAACCCCATCCCACGAGAGCCGATCGTCTGGGCTTCCGGATCAAGGTTGGGCCACCGCAGAAGCATTCCAGCATCTCCAGGGACAGTAGCATCGGATTCTGACGAGTCTTTTCAATGCCGAGGCCTCCAGTGGCAGCACGAGCCTGGATTTCGCCAGCAAGAGTCAATTTCGGCCTCCGGATCACGATCAAGTCGCAGAGGAGGTGGACACTCCAGGAACATTTCGACTTCGCCTGAAGCCGTCGACTCGGATTCGGACGAGTCTTTCCAATGTCGAGGCCTTTCATTCCAAAGCTGGCCTGACTTTGGCTCACAAAAGTCGGTTTCCAGGGTTTCAGCAAGAGATTCCGACGAGTCATTCCAATGTCGAGGCCTCTCGTATCAGAGTCAGCCCGACTTTGGCTCACCTGTTGATGATTCAATTTCCCGGGCTTCGGTATCAGATTCTGACGAGTCCTTCCACTGCCGAGGCCTGTCATATCAGAGTCTGTCTGACCTGCGCAGGCCGGATCCTCTCACCCAAGCTCCAAGTACCCGGACCTCCGCTGGGGGCATCGCTCACAAGAATCCTGCAAAGGGTAAAAATTTTCTAGGATTGCGGTTAGATCTGTCCTCCATTTCTAATTTCCAGCTCAAAGGTTTGACTTTTTTCATTTTTCACCGAGATATAAAGTGGGTCGCATTCGGCTTCTGATTTTAGGTCTATTTCATATGTTGCAGAGAACCGATCAAATCGTCGGCAAGATTCGACCGAAAACCAGGCTCTCAACCAACGAATTGAAGTTCAGCCTCTGGCCTCGCCGATTGTTGCAAGTCCACCGCCACCGATCAATTCGGCGGAGACCCCCCTTAGAAAAGCCGGCATACCCATACTAGGCAGTTCGAAGCTTCGAACACTCAAGCTAGAGAGGAAAAACCGCCGGAAAGGTCCTCTGCAGGGTATCAAAACTGCCCTTAAGAAAATATTGAGAGTTCCTAAGAAGGACTAACTGGGGGAATCTCGACAATAAAAAGCTGTGGTGGACATGATTTCTGATACTAGCATTTTTTTTCTTACCTACTCTTGACATCTCACAGGTCCTCCACCTGAGATTGGCTCATTCTATTTTATCTTAATTTTTTCTTCTTCGCTGAAGCATTTCCATTTCTTTCTCGCGCTTCTGATCACTTCGACTTGACTTCGTTTTTTTTTTCTTTTTAAAAATCGTTTTTTGACCTGCAGTTTGGTCATTAATTAGCAAGATAGAGGAACCATCAACATAGATGTTAATTTATGAACTAGTGGCCATTTTGCATTTTGGATGGATCCATTGAGGCTTGAGCTGAAGAGTCATAAAGAATCTGCCTTCGACGATCAAGGAAGATATGTATGGCAATTCCTTGATTATCGAGATGAAGTCTTCTTCTAAAGGATATGAAGATACTTCATTGAATCTTCCGTTCTCCATATTTTGAACATGAACTTGACTGAATACATGAAACTTTGCCACTATGGCAAATCTGACCCACTACATTTCACCTTCGTTTCTAGCTTTACTTCGGGAATCCGTAAACTATGTGTTGTATATAAATACGTCAGTATAGCTCACACTCGAATTTGTGTAGTTTTTCCAGATACTTAAAAGGGGATGCTCTTGAAGTGATTTTACACTTGAATGCTTATTGATGGAAGCTCAGGAAGAAATTGACAGACCATAGTCTATGCCATGGGCATAAAACATATTTGAGTCTCAACTGATGCATGGCTCAAAGTTATCTCATTTGAACCCTCAATTTCCCTATCAAGAGTATCTCAAGACATGAAGCTGTTAATTGATCCATTATCATGAATTTTACGACTGGAAAGATGCTGTTCTGGTGACTCTCAGTGAAAAATTATCTTTGAACAATATGAAAACCTGTCCATTCCTTGCTATGAAGGGCGCACATAGTTAATTGAGGCATGTATATGATTATTAAACTTGTGTCAATGTAAAATACTTTCAACCTGATAAATGTATGCTTGTATTTTTAGAATCAAATGTCAAAAACAAAAACAAAAAAACAAAAAACAAAATGTATCAACATGAAAGAAATCCCGAATTTTTTTCAGTACAACAGAGGACCAAAACTTTGTAGAAATATTTGAATGCCATCGAGACTATTTGTTTGGTAGCTACATATTCTCGATGGGATTGACACCTACAATGTGGTTTGGCCCAGTTTCAAAGAAGAGTTTCCTGCAACTATTTAGATAGAAGCGATGATCATAATAAGAATAATATTAATGTTAATAAAACAGAAAGCCGAAAGAGAATCCAAAAAAAAAACTGCTATCAACATCAGAATACTCATGGGGATCCGAAAAAAAGAAAAAACGATGGGTATGTCGAGGAGTGGTGATTGATTGCGTGATGGATGAGGCTTTGAAGCTAACGGAGAGAAACGCTACTTGGAAGTTGTTGTCTGTATGGTTGGTGTTGTGAGCACAAATATTTAAAAGAAGGATTGCTATGACTTGGGACGATTGATCCAATACATAGATTCATGGGTCGAATCCGAATAAACTGAGTCGGCGAAACTTTGCGAGCTCTGTGGCCTACTCTTGGAAGTAATGACAGGATCTGGTGGCGATAGATATAGCGGATGGAGAGCATCGGAGTGAAATGATTGCAAAAAAGGTGGTTCGCTCATCATCGACGACACAAATGCTTTGTGCTTGATCAGCGAATTCAGGTTGGCGGTAACGGTGGGACTGCTACTGGAATCCGAAGGCTGAGAGGCCGGATGATTCAAGCGGTTGGGACACACGCTGTTCGAAGTGCTATCGATCGTTGCTGCACAGCTTGCTTCGGTCAGAGCGGTGGTACTACCTTGCGGCAGCGTATATCGGATATCGTCTCCGGGAAAATAGGACGGGGCGTCTGTTGAGCAGGTATCAGAAAGAGATTCCGGATGATTGCCATAAATGGCTGGGTGAGTCGATCTGCCCCAGTTGCTCGATCGGTCATGAAACGGGTCAGATATCGTTCCCGTGCGAGCCAATATTTCAACCTTATCACACGGGGAGGGCAACATGGCGGTAGAACTGAAGGGTGAATGCATTCCCTGGTGCATGAATTCTTTCATTTGCCAGCCGGTTTGGCACTTGAGATGACGTTCAGACATGGTTGTTCGGGAGCTTCCGGCCGTATTGTTGCTCTGGCACGTCAGAGTATCATCGACGTCTGATAGCTGATTGCCCTTGTGGGCCCTTCTTTTCCTTCGTCGGGTGCAAATTATGCAACCAGCTACCGCTATCAAGATGGTGATGACGATCATTCCAACGGTGAGTCCACCTACGAGTATTGCCAGGTGGATGTTGACTTTGTGGGCAGCGTTAAGTTCATGATCGGAGGTGGGATGGGCAGTTGCGCTCGGTAGAGTTATTTGTGGAGGCGAAGTAGCTGTGGTAGGGCAGTTGCCCAAAGAAGTGACATGAGGCACGGCATAGACATCTTTCCATGGGAAAGAGGCAGCCGCTGCTGATGCTGGCCGTGTTTTTGGTTTGTTAGTGCCTACTGTGGAATCATCATCCGGACCATCTGGCCAAGGGTTTCTTTTCTGGAGGATCGAGGGAGGTGCTGTTTCCTGACTTGGGGCAGGTCCAGCCTGGGTAGGTGCTTCGGGGACGATGAATGTGTGCACTTGGGCTTGAGGAACCTGTTGTTGATTTAATGCATAGAGTATAAGAAAGGGTGCCACAAATTCGAGAAACTGAGATTGAATTGAGAGAATCAAAGAGAGAACTAAGGACTAACGGGTCGGTAGTATATCGCAGTGGAGAGGGAATACGAGGTAAGTATGTGACATGGCGAATTGTCTTGCCCTGAAGCTGCATTCGTGGTGTCCTTGTCTTTGTCTGCCGGGGCCGAAGGGGGCATGTTGGATCTTCAGCTTGACTGGGGTATTGCGACGTGGTCGCGAAGAATTGGCGTGTGACGACTTTAAGGAGAAGAGGGGTGCAAGGGATATCGGGTTGGATTGGATTGGGGGCTGAGTGATCGCTAGCAACTTAACGAAGTTGGCAATGAGCTGCAATGAGGTGGGGGCGCAGCGAGGGAGAGAGCAGCAGAAGAGAGTGGATGGTTTGACTACTGACGATTGCCAAGGGAATGGAAACGTGAGGGGGGGGGGGGAGGAGGGGTGTAGTATACGAATTGTTTAAGGCTACAAAAGGAGTGACGAGACAAAAGGATGACCTCCGATAGGCCCGAAGCACCATAACAGTGTACCAATCTCGACTCTTGACGCAGTCAGACTGGTTGTGGGGAACACGCTAAGAAAAGGCGGGAAGCATTGCAGGGATATTGAAGGACACTCTGTTGCGTTTGAGGGAATGATTCGGCTAAACTGAACGGGCGCGATTGAAGGGAAGGATCCTGAACAATCGCCGTTGCCCAGAAACCAGAAGGCTTGTCCATCACACGCTTCGCTGCGTGGGGCGAGTGATGGTACAGTGCTGTAAGGGCCGCTGTATGTTCTTGTCATGAGCCTGTAAACGAGGTCAGAATCAGGACCTCAAACAGTACATATTCCTCATGGATGTCGCCGGCCATTCTGGAAGGAATCTGGACTTTGGGATGCCGAGAGGTACATAGCTCGAATCTCGATACATACATACCGAAATACGGCTTCATGAAACTCTCAGTGAGAGCAACAACGGGTTTGTTGCATGTTATCCAATACATGGTAGTGTACATATTTGTCATCTGCACTATACATACAGCATCACCAGCTACCATCACAGTTGATCACGGTTCACCGAATCACACGTTCACGACTCATCACTCCGAAGAAATGGAGCAGGCACAGATGTCCATGCTTGTCGGGTCCAAAGGAGGAGATAAAAAACGCGTCGTAAACTCCGACTTGCTGTCTGCACCCACGTTATCCCACGTTCCGGACCTACAAACGATATCTGATAGGACTAATCTAGCATTGAGATGGCTGGGGAGGTGGTAATCATCGAAGAAAGGGTGTATTCTCAAATGTCTATGTCCAACTTGGAAGCCACTGTGCTCGAGCAGCTACACGCACATGTGGAGCCACATTAAAACCTCACAGTTGGAGGATGAACATGTCATATGCACAGTAAACCCGTTTGAATGGGATTATTCGGAAGACTCTGAAGGCCCACAACCTCGATATCCTCTCTTTGCCTCGTTCCAGTGTTTTGGATTCCAGGGTTGTGTTGACACAACGTCAATGTTAGAGGTCATGTCAATATCTGCTGCGGATAGGCTCCATCGGCACGCTAAAGCCCGGCTATCTTGTCTCCTGTCATATCGAGCTTCTTCAGAATCTGGCGGGGAAAAGGTGCCGAGCCGGCCGTAAAGCTCAAATGCCGTGATCAAAATTCCAGCTTCATTAAAAACCATTACGTACCTAACAGTGCCCTTCCACAAGGCTTGAACCCATTGTCACTCTTTTTGTTTTCCTTGCGGATACCCAGAACTCTGAAAATATTTCTTGCCTGATGTTGCTGCCGGCATGCAGTATGTATCACACCCTCCGTTTCTCCCTTCCGTGCTCCCACCCAGCAATCTGATGCTTGAAAGTTCACCAATCAACCTGAAGCACCCATGCCATAAGTTGCTTGGCTGACCGGGGGTGGCAAGTCATGAGTTGCATGCAGGGTGGTTTGGAGTGAACTCAATGTGAATTATCATTTCTCCAGCATACCAGACTGCAATTTCCGGTTTTTATTTTTTCTTTTGGAGCAATATAAAAACGTCTGAAAAAAGTGCAAGAATTGTTATATTTTTTGTCAAGTTTGTAAATTATTTTTTCACATTTTTATTTTCAGAATAATTTTTCAAAACCTATTTTATACCACTTGCTCAAGTCTCATGACTTGAAGTTGGTGGGTGAAGGTTGTGTAATCCAAACAAACCAGTCATAAACGACTGGTAGGTGACTGCACATGTATCTTGTTGGCCAGAAGGCTTTTCTTCCGGTTGACAAACATGTGCCTTGTTGACCTTGAGACTATACAGTCTCAAGGCCAAGAGGGATTGCTATTTGTCTTGAGCTGTGTACAGTCTCAAGGCTGGGAGGAACCTCTCCTGGCCTCAAGACTGTAAAGTCTTGGAATTGGGAGGGATTCCTCCCAGTCTCAAAGTAAGGTGCCCTTTTTATCAAAGACCTCAAGCCCCTTGGATTTCCCATAGGACCCAGACCTGTGTCCTATGGGATAGCCCAGGGCCTAAAGCCTAAACACATATTAACAGTTTAGGATTAACCAAACCACCAACCCCTTCAACAAAAAAATCTGGAACTCCAGCGGGTATTGTCCCCAGATTGTATGGCACTAAGTGATGCCGCCAAACAAGTGCCATACGATTCCCAAATACATTTCATCCTTAGGCTCCTTTTATACTCATCCCTTTTGTTCCCCCATAATCTTCTGCTTCCATGATTCCACCCATTGTTCCCCGCAATAAAACTCTTACCCCAACCAACACTTTTTGTCTTATTGGACTATACCTCTTCTTTCCAAGAGCGGAAGCCTCTCTTCAAATTAACAAAAGATTCAGTCCCATCCCTCACCTACTACTGCCTTTCTTGCACCAGCCTAACTTTTAGTTCTCTGCAATAAACAACTAACTTCCCCAATAACTTTCTTCTCTCAACATTTCACCATTTTCCCTCACTCCTCCTTTCCTTCAATCCGCAACAAAGAAATTCAACTAATGGATTATTTGACTACCTGCCTATCCCACAACTTCAAACCCACCGCTTCACCACTCAATGTACACTTCTGTATCCGACCTCCAAAACTCATTTACATTTCACCGCTCTGGAGTGTTGCACATAAATGATAAGCTTGCTAAATATTTCATTATACAAAACTGTGGAATGATTTCGTTGAGTGCATAGAGTCCCAAAGGTGATTGTACGTCTTATCTAAAGACGGGATCAGTGCACAGAAATTGATTGAGTTCAAGAGGATCCACAGGCTGAGGTAATGTAACGTGAAATCTTTGCTGTCTTTGTCTCTTTTCAACTCAAGTGCAAGAGGATGCACAGGCTGAGGTAATGTACCGTGAAATCTTTGCTGTCTTTTTCTCTTTTGAACTCGAGTTACAAAAGAAATGAGCTCGCATCCTTGAATGAAAAACTTTGTTTCAATACAGGTTTCTGCCTATGGTAATGAGTAAGAGCCGACGAAGAAAGGTCACAGTAAGGGAGTGGCCATAAAGTGGGAATGGTGCGCGCCATTGGATAGAATCAAATTTGGTGGGGAAAGACGGTAGTGTTGTTTGCTATGAAATGTGGCCAATGTTTCAATCTTGAGCTATAAAACTAACAATTGTTCAGCCATGGTAGGCTGTGAGCCCTTGTGTGCAAGTAAGCACACAAGGAAGGCAATTTTGATGAAGAGGGCGGCTGTGATATACCCTAGTATTATATACAAATATACATATTGATTTAGCCTGGAAAAATTGGTGTGCGGGCCTGCGCACCAATGATTGGCAAGGGAGGCATGCCTCCCCTGTAGATTGGTGTGCAGGCCTTCACTCCCCTGAAGATTGGTATGTGCAGACAGACACCAATATGCAGGTCTGTTGGTGTGTGTGTGCACCAATCTGCAGGTGAGTGCAGGCCCACATAGAGTGGAGTGTGACTGGGAGTGTGTGCACAAGGGGGGGGGGTGCACTTATCAAGCCCCCTACTATGGTGTATAACCAATGGTGAAACCAATACAATACATGTATTTGTATCCGTTTTTCTCTGAATACATTGTATTTGTATTGTATGAAAAAACAGATACTAGGGGATATCAAATATAAAACTCCACCATTATTTAATTGACTGGTTTGAAAAAATCCACAATTTTTTCAATGGTGGGAAGTTACGTTGTCAATAACACTGTAGCAATAATGTAACAGAATTGGCACCGTTAGCGCTGTGATAGATGCAACAAACCTGCCGTTGTGGAACTGCTGAAACAACCAGAACAGAGCTTTGAGGGGAAATAGCAAACTACACTACTAGTAATGTAAGTTAAGACTATGAGCGCTAATGAGGCTGCCCTCTGAGACTAATGCTGAGGTGAGAGGGTTACACTAAGAATAAGAAAGAGGTGTGGCTAATTTCTAACTAATTCTTAGACTGCTATAACTAATGAGGTTGTTCCTTGTCAATCCTACAGGGAAAGAAGTGAGAATATGAGAGTGGGAAATAAAGCAGAGCTCTGAGGACACTGTGTGTAAAGGTATTTCTGGGGTAAGCACCTAAACAGGGCAAGGTCACTAAAGTGAGTTCTGAAAGTAAAATAGATTTTATCTGAGGGGCACAATAATATCTGTAGGGGAGAAATTGCATCAGGGGTGTACAAAAATGATAAGAAGACTGTATATATACTTCAATGTACAAATGAGCACAGGTTACAGTCAGTCTGGCTATGGGAGCACAATGTACAAATGTAGCACAAGAGATGTGAAAAGTAAACAATCAAAAGGAGGATGAGTAAAGAAAAACAATCCCAAAAGATAAAGACTGTGAAAGAGTGTACTACTGTTATCCTGAAGGCATATGAGAAAGCATAATTGTAAGGAGTGTGTCTGAGAAAATATATGTAATATGTAATGTGAAAAGGAGTACTTGTAAAGGAGTGTGACTGATGTAATGTGAAGAGATATGTGTAAGAAGGTAATACTTGAGAAAAATATGATGTATGTGATAAACTGTAAATATGTACTGTATGTAGTTAATGTGTAATGTAAATGTAAAGAATAATATCTGTAAAACTAAAACTGCAATTAACTAATGAACCAGTAAGAAATGAGATATGGCTTGAGTGAGTGACTATAGGTAAAAAAGGGTGTAGAATCTGAATAAGCAGTCATAATATAATAATTCCCAGTGAATGTACAGTAAAATAATAGATGAGATGGAAAGGTATGGGTTACCACATCCTCCCCCAACTTATTGTCTGTCCCCAGACAATGCAGCCAGTATGAAGATAGAAAAGAAAATATATATATAAAAAAAAGGTAAAGAAAAAGTAACTAGTAAGAGTGACAAGGGAGTCCAGAAACAGGGGTCCATCCAAGAGGAGCCAAATCCAGGGTTCAGGGTTGATCCACTTCCAGGAGGAGTATCTGTTCCATCCAAGAAGGCCAAGTACTGTATCCAAAAAAAATAAGACCAAGGAGAAAATCTGTATACAAAAAAAAGAAGGGCCAAATCCAAGGTGCTGTAGTTGATCCAATCCAAGAGGCCAAAATATAATCCAGACATTGGTCCACTCCAAGAAGGCCAAGTCCATAGTATCCAAAAGTGAACCACCCTAAGGAAGGAGTATCTGTTCCAATCCAAAGAGGCCAAATCCAAATAAAACAAAGTTGATCCACTTCCAAGAGGCCAAGTCCAGATTCCAGGGTTGAACCAATCCAAGAAAGCCAATGTCCAGTACCTAAAGAAAATTCTTAAAAATGGGCCACCCACTGGAGGAATTCTGTTATCCTTTCAATGAGGCCAAGTCCAAGAGTCCTGAGGTTGAAGTTCCATCCAAGAAAGCCAAAGCCAGATGACCAAAGAAAATCCAAGGGGAAAAAACTGAGTCCAATAGTCCACAATAGTCCTAAGGCCAGTAAAAGAAAAAAAACTAATGATAATTGAACCACTTCCAAGGGGAGTATCTGATCCATCCAAGAAGGCCAATATCAAGAGTAAGACCTAAGTTGATCATCTTCAAGCTGGAGTATCTGGTTCCAACAAGAAGGCCAAGGTAGGTAAAGACTTCTGAAGTTGATCCAAGTCCAGGAGGAATGTCTGATCCATCCAAGAAGACCAATCCAAGAGTAAGACCTGAGTTAAAAGGCAGGTAAAGTTGATAAAGAAAATTCTGAATTCCAAGGTCCAAAAGAGTCTGAATCCAATGTCCAAAGAGAAAAAATCTGAGATGCCAAGGTGGAAAGAAACCAAAAATCCAAAGTCCAGAAAGAGGTCCAGGGAAGTAAAAAAGGTTTATATAATAATATGTAAACTAAATATATCCAGCAAAATAAACTATGTAAAATATCTTCTGTTCAATCTGAATAAAAATCTGAGTAAAGCTGAGGTTCAAACTAATTATTTCAAGGCTGGGATGCACTAATATATATACCAAAATCTGAAGAAGTTTTGAGGAAGATAACACACAAAAGTAAAAATAAGGAGGGTCTATCTGAATGAACTACTTCTAAAATGATGGTTCTCATCTATAAAGAGGGTGAAACCAACAAAAGATGGATATTATAACTGAAATTCATAAGGGTAACCAGTTGTCATGATGGTCAATAAAAGTATTTACATGGTAGGAGGAGTAATTTTTCTCCATGGTGGAGGAACCAAAATCCAGGTGGGGAGTGAAGTTCAGGTGATTGGTGAATGGTGGGGTACAGAGGTGATGGTGAGCTGTGGGTGATGGTCCTCCAAATTCTGGGGTCATGGATCCATGGCTCCCTTATTTCTTCAAAAGGTTGAGAGATTAAATAGATACTTTAAAAAAATTGATTTCATTATTGGCCAAATTGAGAAAAGCAGGTCCAGGAATTCCAGAAAGGGAAAAGCCTAAAAGAGGAGGTGTCCGGTGAAAAACAGTCCCCAAGAGGGACAGACTTAAGGAAAAAAAAGCAAAGAAAACAGCGCACGACCCTCGGCGAAGACGAAAGACCGATGTCGAAGATGCAGTGATGTCATAGAATGAAAGAGAAGGCATCGGAACTGGGTCGAACACCAGAGTCAACATTAAAAAAAAGAAAAGAAACTATAAAACATAGCCCGGATCGAGCACCGGCATCGAAAAGGAAATTTAGATCGAGGGGTGTAAAATGAAAGGGGACCCGAGTCCATTCATGATGACGAAATGATATTTTAAAACAAAAACAAAGAAATGAAAACCGGATCGTACACCAGCACCGCATCGTGTGCTATCGGGTAGAGCACCGGTGTCCAGAAGGTTTAAATGAGAGAAATGAATCAACACAGCCGGATCGCGCACCGGCATCGAAATTAAGGAAAGAACGAGAAAAAAAAGAAACTAATTGCACCGCCCGGATCGAGCGCCAGCGAGGACGGATTTCGGAAGCGGATGCTTTGATGAAGAGGCCAGGGTCGTACACCGGAATCTAAATGAATTGTGACGAATTGACTGAAAGGGTAGCGCAGAGCCCAAAGCTAGAGCCCGGTCCGAGTCGGAGACTTTGAGCTCGATAACCGCGGAGACCTAAGGAAACAGGGGAGGCTGATAACAGTGCAATGATTTGTGGACAAGGTTCGAGTCTTCCACCGCCACGATTAGCAGCATGTAATCGACCCAGAGCGTGAAGGAAAGTCCTCGGCGGGACTGGAAAGGAGATGAGTGTCAGCAAACCGCCAGCCAATGGATTCCATGAGGTGATCGTGGGGCGTGCCGATTGCGGAACGCCTGATCAGGGACAATATGGTCCCCTTCTATAAAAACCGATGTCCAACTTCAATCTTTCCACTATTTTGACTGTTGCCCTCCTCTTATCGTCCTCTATCGCTGTAAGACTCAAAAGTGGTTGTGAAACCCTTTTGCTGAATGGAGAAGGGGATGATGGAGTTGCAAGCTCTGCCCTTCTATGCTATCAGAACAACAAGACCACCAAGCTCAGCTTGGCAGTTTATATATCGTGATAGAGGATAGTTCGAGATGAAGCTGTCGAATGATACGTATAACGGTTGAAGGTGTTGATGATTGTTGTTGATAGAGGTGTCAATGATAAGTGTTGAGAGTGAGGCTTGAACGCGCAACCTCGAGGTTGATGGTATATAAATTTTATGCTTCGACCAGGAATGGAACGGAGGACCAGGCGCAGGTGGAGGTAAGTTGGAGTTAAGGTGGAGTTAAGATGGAGTTGAAGTGGAGTTAAAGTGGATGTCTTGAATGGGAATTGAACCCAGGTCCTTGCGGTTGGGGTGTATAAGGGCAAAAAGCAGTGGATTTCAGGCAAAGGTGAGATAGCTTAGTGGTTATGAAAAAAAGTAATGTTGATATTTCTACACTATAAACTGTTATAATATATAAGGGGGGGTTATAATTATAAAACCTCAATACTAGGTAGCTAAAAATATTGAAGAGTGACCAGTGATGTAGTGTTATGGGGGGGACTGACTACAGAGCATCTGATGAGGAGGGAATACAACTGGCAGGCAGAGGCCTCCTTATATAGACAAAAGTGAGGGAATTTAGCTCCAGGGTACATGCAGTTGAGGGAATTTAGCTGGCCTGAATATCCAATGAGGGAATTTAGCTAGTCTAGTACATGCAGGTGAGGGAATTTAGCTAGTGATAGCACAGCCTTGAGGGATTTTAGCTAGCCTACAAGGTCCTACTACAAAGGAATGCATGTGCACCAACAAAGGAATTCAATATGTAATATGAGCTAATAAAGGAATTCAATATGAAACAAAGGAACTCAATATCCAATAAGCATCCAGTATTCAAATTGAGCTATAGTCAGAGTAAAGGATCCAAGAGATATCCTGTGATAGGTTGAAATAGGTGTAACTTCTGAACTAATAGAGATAAGGGGGTAGTTGTAGTGGGTGACTAGGGGTTATTTTACCTCAGGAATCCATTTTTGATGTTTATTTTACCTTATATCTGATGTAGAAAAAGATGAGAATAAATTTTTATATTTTTAGCGTAGAAACACAGGAATAACTACCACATCGCAGCCATCGGCTTTTCCCTCTTACATCCACAACCCTATTATGTCCTTCTCGCGACCCCTTTCCGTCGCCTCGTCGGATGCTACCATTACTGGCTCCGAGCTTGATTCCACTGATGAACGTTTGTCAATCGGTGACGATTCCGTCGACATTTGCTCGCCAGTTGACTATGATTCAGTCGACAAGCGTTCTCCGGCTTCAACAGCCGATTACTCCAATTTCAGCCCAGCGTTTACTCGCGACAACTTCTCACTCGAAGAAATCCACGACTTTAGGCTACTGATTACCGACGAACTAATCCGATTCGCCAGAAGCGCCAGCGCCGCCAACGAAACAGATCGAAATCAACGACTGAGGTTGTACAGCCGTGTTGAAGACCTGTTTTCGACCGTGAGTTAAGCTTTCTCGTTTCCGCAAGATCCATCGAGGCCCTTACTAATTCTTGTTTTAAATTTTTCTAACTTCAAGCTCCATATGCATCAACTGGGACCGCCTGTGGAACTTCGAAGGGCCCTCATCCAGGCTAAAGGAAAGGAAGAAAAGAAGAGAGATAAAGAAGAGATGGTTGTCTTCCACAAGGAAGTTGGTAAGTTGTAATTTTCACTAGAATTTATACTTCAATTGAGCTGTTTTTGAGAGAACCTATTACTATTTTTTTTTTTTTTTTTTTTTTTTTTTTTTTTTTTAGGGCCTTAATAAAAAAACGCGGTTTTTCCGCGTTTTGACGCGGTTTTGATGCGCCGCAGCACACGCGGTTTCCGCGTTTAGACGCGGTTTTTTAATTAATTTCTTTTTGCCCTTAATTTTCAGTTTTTTTGATTTTTTAAAGTTGTTTCCTAGGTTTCCAAGCGTGTAGAATTTAATGGTAAAAACCATTTTCTGTGAAAATGAATTTTGATTATTAATTTTTTTTTTCCACTTATTTTTCCATTAATTGTATGCATACATGTTTTTACCTTATTTTTTATGTTTTTTTGAAATTTTAAATTTATTTCCTAGGTTTCAATACGTGTAGAATTTAATGGTGTAAACCAAATTTTTCAAAACTCAACGGTTCATCTTTAATACTGGAATTTGACGTTTTTTTCACTTAAATTTCTACAGCTTAATTTTCATTATTTTTTGATGTTTTAAATTTATTTCCAACACTTTAATACATGTAGAAAATGATGGTCTCAACCATTTTTCCCCAAAATGAAAACTATACCTTGAATGCCGCATTTGACACGTTTTTTTTAATTAATTCATCACTTTTTCACTTAATTGTTTGCATACATGTGTGTACCTTATTTTCTATGCTTTTTTGAAATTTTCAAGTTGTTTCCTACATTTAAAAGTGTGTTAAATTTAATGGTAACATTCAATTCCCATAAAACTCAACGGTTCATTTTTAATACTGAAACTAGACACTTTTTTCAATTAATTCTTTACATGTTATTTCTCAATATTTTTTGACATTTTAAGTTTATTTCCCACACTTTAATACATGATCGAAATGATGGTAACAACCATTTTTCATAAAAATCAGCGCTTGTTACTGAATACTGCAGTGGACAGGCTTTTTTTAATGTTTTTTTGATTGATTTTTACCGGCCCGATTTTAAGCATTTTTTTAATTTTAAATTTATTTCCTACATTTACAAATGTTTAGAATTGAACGGTGAAGTCCAATTTCACTCAAAATATAAGCTTCAATCTTAATAGATGAGTTTACCCCGTTTCTTGCATAATTTGTACCATATACAAATTTTATTTGAATGCAAAATGGATACAGCCATCAATTTTGAAACCTTTCAAAGTGTAGGAAATGAGCTTTAAATTCCAAAAAATAAGGATAATTGAGCGTGTAAGAATGAATTTGGGAAACACGTCAAAGGCATTATTCAAGACATAGTTTTCATTTTCATGAAAATCCATAGTTACCATAATTTTATACATGTTTGAAAGTGTAGGAAAAGAATTTAACATGTCAAAAAATAATGAAAAATAAGCTGTTAAAAATCAATTGAAAAATACGACTCATTACAGTATTCAGTATGAACCATTTAGTTTTAAGGAAATTGAGTGTTACCATTAAATTCTACACACTTTTTAATGTAGGAAACAAATTTAAAATTTCAAAAAAGCATAAAAAATAAGGTACACACATGTATGCAAACAATTAAGTGAAAAAGTGATGAATTAATTAAAAAAAACGTGTCAAATGCGGCATTCAAGGTATAGTTTTCATTTTGGGGAAAAATGGTTGATACCATCATTTTCTACATGTATTAAAGTGTTGGAAATAAATTTAAAACATCAAAAAATAATGAAAATTAAGCTGTAGAAATTTAAGTGAAAAAAACGTCAAATTCCAGTATTAAAGATGAACCGTTGAGTTTTGAAAAATTTGGTTTACACCATTAAATTCTACATGTATTGAAACCTAGGAAATAAATTTAAAATTTCAAAAAAACATAAAAAATAAGGTAAAAACATGTATGCATACAATTAATGGAAAAATAAGTGGAAAAAAAAAATTAATAATCAAAATTCATTTTCACAGAAAATGGTTTTTACCATTAAATTCTACACGCTTGGAAACCTAGGAAAAAACTTTAAAAAATCAAAAAAACTCAAAATTAAGGGCAAAAAGAAATTAATTAAAAAACCGTGTCTAAACGCGGAAACCGCGTGTGCTGCGGCGCATCAAAACCGCGTCAAAACGCGGAAAAACCGCGTTTTTTTATTAAGGCCCTTTTTTTATTATTTTTTTTTTTATTTTTTTTTTTTTTTTAGAGGCACAGTCAGAGGAGGTGACTGAAGAGTATGTGTCAGAAATTAAGGCCATGATAGAAAACCAAGGTATGTAAGAATTTTTTTTTTTTTTTTTTTCTTTTATATATATATACTGATTTTTTTTTTTTTTTTTTTTCTTTTTTTTTTTTTTGTTTTTTCTTTTTTTTTTTTTTTTTTTTCTTTTTTTTTTTTTTTCATTTTTTTTTTTATTTTCTTGTGTAATATTTTTTTACATGGCTTGCAGCATACCTTCTGGCCAATTCAGAGCCATCCAGTTCCTCCAGGGTATAGGATCCACCTGGGTTTTGAGATTTCACCTTGTAAGGGCCATTCCACTTGTTTTCAAACAATTTGCCCCACTGGGAGTCCAAGGATTTGTTGTAGACTAATACCAAATCACCTTCTTTCAATGGTTTCCTTGTCTTCTTCTTGTTGTTCCAGTAGTCCACAGATGTACCTCTAGTCTCCAATAGCTTTTGATGTGCCTTTTGCAATACAGAGTCCCTGTTCTCCAGTTGAGTTACCCTGGCCAAGAGAAGGTCCTGAGTTGTTGCCACTTGATCCCATTCCACTCCAAAGAAGGTTTCCAATTCAAGGTCAATTGGTAAGATAGGAGGCTGGCCAAAAACTAGTTCATAAGGTGAGTATCCAGTTGATCTTTTGGTTGAAATCCTGTCAGCAAATAAGACTAATGGTAAATAATTTCTCCATTTCTTGCCTTCCTGTCCACAGAGCTTGACCAGGGTGTCTTTGATTGCTTGATGTCCTCTCTCAACCATTCCATTGGCCTCTGGGTAGTATGGTGTGGTGACTTTAACCTTTATTCCAGATTCTTGAAGGGATTTTTGAAATTGCTTGCTGAATTCAGAGCCTCCATCCACTGCTACAACCAAGGGAGCTCCATATCTGTGAATCCAATGTTCCAGGAACCATTCTGATATTTTCTTTGCTTGAAGTTTTTCTAGTCCAATGGCTTCCACCCATCCTGAGAGGTCATCTCTGGCCAGAACTAGGTATTTCCATCTTCCTGCTTTGATGTGAACTGAATCCAGGCTGACTCTTCCAAAGATTGTTGATTTTCCTGTAGGTTTTCTTGGTTCCATTGGCAAGACTGAACTCCTTTTCTGGCAAGCTTCACAGGACTGGACCCATCTGGTGACTGATTTCTTGAGACCTGGCCACCAAAATCTGAGCTTGGTTCTGGTATAAGTTTCAGTGATTCCTCTGTGGCCTAAGGATTCATGAAGGGAGTGAAGGATAGAATTCTGAGCTGTGGGGGAAGTGACCACAATCTGGGAGAAAGGTTTGTTGATTCTGTGGAGGACTCCGTTGGAAAGGAAAAAAGAGGCTGATTTGTGCAAAATTTGTTTGAATTCCAGGTTACTGCATCCAGGAGGTCTGTTCATTGTTGCAAGGTATTCTTCCAAAAGTTTCCAAATTCCTTGTTGAAGAGAAGTTACCCCCTCCCCCAACTGAGCTGATGTCCCCAGCAGCATTCCAGAAAAAGCTTGTTTGACTCCAAATCCAGGGTGTGGCTTGATCCATTGTTCATCTTCATCAAAACTAGGACAATCTTCCTCATCTGGATCTGGGGGCCTCCTGGAAAGTCCATCTGGCATGGTGAAAGTTTTACCTGGAGTATGTACCAAATCAAAAGAAAAAAGCTGAATAAAAGCTATCCATCTGTTCATAGGGGCATTGGGAAGTGAGGGGTTGTTGATCATTCCAATAAGACACTTGGCATCCACTCTGAGCTGAAAATGTTGGCCCCAAAGTTTGGTTTGAAGTTTCTTGAGGATTTTGGTGACTCCACAGAGCTCAAGTTTTGATTGTGAGTATTCAGATTCTCTTTTTGAAAAGACTACTGACTCATAAATAACAGGTCTGTCCAGTCCAGCTGAATCTTCCTGAGTAAGAACTGCTCCAGCAGCAATGTAACTGGAATCCACAGAAAGCTTGATGAGGCCAGCTCCAGGTCCATAGTCCAATTTCTTGAGGGTGATGTCAGTCCCAATGATTTTCTTCAGTTCTTCAAAGGCATCCTGGCATTCATCAGTCCAATCCCAGGTGGAGTCCTTCCTGGTGAGTTTTCTGAGAGGTGCAGTGATGGTGGAGTAATCTTTGATGAACATTCTGACATAAACACAAATTCCAAGGAATCCCCTGACAGCTGTTGGAGTGGTGGGAATTGGCCAGGATTCAATTTTGTTGAGCTTCTTGACTGAGATTCTTCTTCCTTCCTTGCAGACAACATGGCCAACAAGATCCAGGGCAGGGACACAACAAGCAAATTTCTTGCCAGAAATGGTGAGACCAGCTTCTTCGATTCTGAACAGTATCCTTTCCAAAGTGATGGCATATTCATAAATAAATCTTCTAATTTTTGGGTTGGCCTCCAGGGTTTCTCCATTGTAGTCTGAAGTTGGTCCTTTGATTCCTCCATCATCAATGAAAATTCCCATGTGTTCTGGCAATTCATCTTGAAGGATCCAAGTCATTTGGGCCTGGTAGACTGCAACTGAATTGGTGGCTCCTTGGGGAAGTCTGGTGAGTTGGAACCTGCCAAGTGGAGTTTCAAAAGTTGTTAATGGTCTGGATTCTGGTGATAATTCCCTCTCATCATAGCCTCCCATAATGTCCCCAAGTCCATAGCAAGCACGTCCAGTAAATGACTCCACTAATTCCTCTGGTGAAGGTGGAAGACCTGCATCCTTAATGGTGACTTTGTTGAGTTGTTGAAGGTCATGAACAATTCTTAATTTACCATCTTGCTTTTTTACACAGAAAACAGGGCTGGAGTAACTGGAAAAGGATTGTTC